GGGGATGTTCTTATTCTTTAGAAGGAACTACTAGTAAAGGACAGTTCGTTTCTCCTAGACACCATGTCTACAGTTCAGGGAGCTGCCACAAGGTACACGATGATACTCAGGATTTTCAGGGCAACTGATATGAGAAATTCAACCAATCACTCCACTGCTACTGGAGGAAAAAAACAACACTTTTTCTGTTAAAACATCATGCATTGTATTTGGAACTCTTATGCACTGTCGATAGGAATGTAAAATGGTATAGCCACTGTGGAAAACAGGATGGTGGCTCCTCAAAAAATTAAAAATAGAATTACCATATGATCTAGCAATTCCACTTCTGGGTATATACTGCCGCACCCCCAGAAGTGAAAGCAGGTCTTGAAGAGACCTGTGCACCCGTGTTCGTGGCAGCATTGTTCACAATAGCCAAAATGCAGAAGCATCCAAGTGTCCGTCAAGGGAAGAATGGATAGGCAAAATGTGGTATGTACATACAACAGAATACCATTCAGCTTTAAAAAGGAAAGAAATGCTGACACATGTCACTACAGGGATGAGCCCTGAGGACGTTATGCTAAGTGAAATAAGCCAGTCACAAAAAGACAAATTACTCTATGATTCCACTCAGATGAGGTATCTAGAGAAGTTGAATTCATAGAGACAGAAAGCTGAAGTCTTTTTTTCCTGCCCCCCCCCCTTTTTCTTTATAAATATCAAAGAGATATCAACTGTAGAAAATCTGGAAGATACCAAAAAACACAGAGGAAAATCCACCACCCATTCTCACTTGAGCCAGTGTGGCTCAATAGTTAACATGACAGGTTCTAATACCTGGGTTTGCATTCTGCCACTGATGCTTATGAATGCTGGTTGGTAATCCTGGACAACTAAGTTAATGAAAGAACCCAGCTTGGAGATTGGAATGTCAGCTAAAGGAGATAATCCACATAAGGGCTTTAGCATAGTGCTAAATGTAATCTAAAACACCCACTAAGACCAATAGTGCTCAGAGGTGAAGCAACTTGCTCAATATGACCAAGCTAGTTAGTGGCAAAACCACGACTAAAACCAAGGTTTCTTACTCCCAGTTCCGTGATCTTTCTACAATAGAGCTCTGAAAGGCTTCAGACAGAACCAGTCATTGTGGTTAACATCATCATCCTATTGTGGGGGTTTTTTGTGTGTTTTTTTGTTATTGTCTATTGAGACCATATAAGCCAGGCATTATGAATGCACATTACATGCATATTTAAATCACAACTTTTTAGTCAAATCCATCCAAAAAATTTTGTCTTTTTACTTATTTAGCCATCTTAAAGCTCATCTGAGGGGGAAAAAAATAGGAAATTTATTCTCAGTTACGACATGCCAATTAAGTTTCAATTGTTATCACTTTTCATCTATGTTCCCAGTTCAAACTTTGGTTTGGGAAACACAAAACTCCAACTAGTCTATATACATATAATGTTGGAGAAGAGGAACAGTATTTAAATTATTAATTTAGTGACATTATTTAAAGTTTCATTTATAAAACTGAATATAAAAACAAACAGAAAATTCAAAACAAAGCAAACCCTGTAAGGAAGTGAGTACCACTGACCCTTAGAACACCACTTTGGGTTTGAACTGTGTAGGTTCACTTATACGTGGATGTTTTTCAATAGTAAATACTACAGAACTACATGATCTGTCAATTGAATCCCCAGATAGGGAGGAATACAGTGAGCCAACTGTAAATCATAACCCAGTAGGGGCCTTACCCCCACATTGCTCAAGGGTCAACAATAATCTAAAAAGCATCCACTGGGGTGGCATATCTCCTCTAGAAATTTCAGGTATAGTAAGACAATATCTTTAAAAAGTTAAGAAAGGTACACAACTGCAGAAAATATCCTGTTCAATTTCTGGAGCAACCACCCATTTGACTAGAAGCTTGGCTTTTTTTTAAAGGTGAAAAGTTCCATCTTTACATATTCTCCCAACAGTCACCTGAAAAACATTAAAGAAGCCTACATGGTTATAACTGGTGTTTAACAAAGAAGTTTATCATATGGAATAGAAGATACCAAACTTCTAAAATTAGAACATCAACTCATGATACTTGAGCACTTTAAGATTTTGATAAAGCTTGATTTTGATAAAGCTTTTTAACCTACCCAGTGCTTCACACTGTTTATCCTGATTATGTTCTGGATACTTAAATTTTCTGTTATCTCAGAAGTTTTAAGTCAGAATACACTTTGAGCTACACATGTTTTTATATTTGATCCCAAAATGGACCCAGAGCAAAGGATATCCCTACAATTAAATATCCAGTGAGTCCCTCTTTCACTTTCACCCAGTGGATTTGGAAATAACCAAGTAGGGTATCCGAGTCACAAAGATTTCCAGAACTGGCTGGATCAATTATCTAATGACACATAAGAAATCAAATACTTACTGTCCGCATTTTTTTTTTTTTTGGCCTTGCCATATAGCATGCAGAATCTTACTTCCCCAACCAGGGATCAAACCCATGCCTCCTATAGTCGAAGCAGGAGTCTTAAGCACTGGACCATCCCAGAATTCCCAAATTCTATCTACATTGAAAGGTCCTGATGTGGAGTAGAATACAAGCCTTTGGGCATTTCTTCCTTATAGAGATGAGCTGTGTTAAAGGCACATTCCCTCATTATAATCCCTCAAACTGCAGGGCACATTAGAGATAAAGTCTATGTGTACCCACACAGAAATGTATTTACTTAATCATACTGAATTTCCTCCCCCCCCCAAAAAAAAATTCACACTCTTCTGTAACCAATGGAATTAATCAGATCTTTTATTTAGGCTAGAATCCAAAATAAGTTATGTGTACCACACCCAAGTTTTGTATAGACTAAACTTCCTTAAAAACAAACAAAAAGAAAGGACTCTTTCCTGCCTCTAAGGCAGGAGTCTTGAGTTCACAGAGGTCTGGACCACTGGTGAAATCCATTGTCACTGCAAGAACTTGTGCTTTTGAGCCAGCCCAGGATAGTACAAAGGGCTTCCCCGCTGGCTCAGAGGTATAGAATCTCCTGCACTGCAGGAGACCGCCTGCAATGCAGGAGATGAGGTTCAATCTCTGGGTGGGGAAGATCCCTTGGAGAAGGAAATACCAAACCATTCCAGTATTCTTGCCTGGGAAATCCCATGGACAGGGGAGCCTAGTGGGCTACATACAGCCCACAGGGTTGCAAGAGTCAGACATGATTTAGCAACTACACCACCACCACCACCAGGATGGTACAAAGGCGGACTCTTCACTTGCATAATCCCAGATTATACATACAACCAGTCCTGTGTAAGACATCAACGAGTTGCAGGGTAACCAGAGTGAAGATGTTTTACACAACATCAAAAGGTAATCTCAGTTCCTATTTTGGGATAACTTGTAGCAGCAACAAGATTAGGCACCATAACTGCTATGATTTTTCTGGTCCTTGGCTAGAATATTGTCCAACAACTTACAGCTATGGGCTAAATGTTTCTGTCCCTCCAAAACTCGTATGTTGGAATCTTAACCCTCAAAAGTGATGGTACAGTAGGTGTGACCTTTGGGAAATGCTTAAGACATAAGGGTGGAATCCTTGTGAATGGGATCAGTGCCTTATAAAAGAGGCTCCAGGGAGACCCCCAGCTCCTTCCACCACATAAACAGCTAGAACTCTGTGACCAGAAAAGGGCCCTTGCCCAGCCATGCTGGCACCCTGATCTCAGCCTCCCAGCCTTCAGAACTGCAAGCAACAAATTTCTGCTCTTTATAAGCTACCCAGTCTAGGTATTTTGTTACAGCAACCAGAACAGGCTAAGACGCTATGAACATACACACACACACAAAAACCCCAGCTATATGTCACGAAAATGGTTTCCTTCCTTACTACATCTGTATGCCAAGGTATCAATAAACTTAGGGTCATCATTTTATACCTCTTGATTATTCAAAATGGTCTGAAATGTAACTGCAAAGTACTTTGATTACTAATTATACAAGACAATTCAAGCCAACCAAATGATGCCAAGTCAACCAAACAATGCCAATTCAAGAGGAAAGAAGGATTCTGCAGTTCATATCAACTCCCAGGAAATCAGATGTAACAAATTAAAAGGTTCTAAATAAGTACAGCTTGGAGAATCCCACTGGAGAAAACACATGCCAATTAGAGGTCTCTCCTGTAACTATACCACATAATTGGCCTTGAGCTGTTTGCTCCAACGCCTCCAGTTAGAGCCCAGCTCAGGCAGGCTACTCAGAAGCAACACACAAGATTAGATTTTCTGCCAGCGTCCAAGTGTCAGGACAGAACTGTAGCAATCTTCCTGATAGAAGTACAATGAACTTATCTATTTCTGATAGTCCAACATAGAAAAAAAGTAAGACTCAGCACACAGAAGGATAAGATTTCATCTTTATTATTCTAGACAAACACTGGAATGAGATATTCACAGGTATTACGTATTAACATCTAAATGATTTGCACTCAATGTGGGTCAAATTTCCTGGCTGAATAAAAAAAAAACCTTAAAGGTATAAAAAGAATCAGATATCTGTCCTTGTGTCAGTTCCTAAATATGTATAGGATAAACTTGTCCTATTGGGAGGGAGCATAAAACAAGCAATGGCTTTGGAAGAAAAAAAAACCATTTAAATTTGCACAAATAATACACGCTCTTTGCAAAAAGATTAGGAAATATAAAAAGGCAAAAATGAAAATAAAAACTAAAAGAGTTACCAGCAATTCTGGTGGTTTTTTTTTTAAATCCAGGCAGGTTTAATACATTTGTTTCTGTTCCTCTACTCCTTCTCCAAATTATAGCTGCTTCTTCTAACCAAAAAATCGGAATCGAAGACAGTCTCCTTTTTAGTCAATGCACCTTTAACTCGTAGCACAATGAGGCATTTTAAGCACTTGTTAAGACATATAAGAAAATCCCCATGTCAAACTAACTGAGCTGAGCAAAGAGACTATGGTCAGAGAATGAGGTCTTACCTTATCTGCATAAATTGGAATATCATGAAATGGAGAGATATATTGTCCTTTTTCATTTTCTGCAAAATCAATTAGAAAATATTATTACTTTTATTGGTTAACTACATTTCCAGATGCATGAAGTACACATTTTTCAAGACTTTAAGAGAATGTTTAGATTTACAATAAAATTGAGAAAAAGATACAGAGATATCCCACATACCCTCTCCTCCCCATAATCAACACCACTCACCAGATTTTATTCCCACCCCAGAGAAACTGGTTTTATACTTGACTGCTCCAAGACCAGGTTAGGTTTTCATTCTACTTGTTCCTTAGGGGTCTAAAAGGTACTAACCTCTCTGGTGAGGGTGGGGACAGCTTTACAAACCTGGGTACCCCAGAGCCTGTCTGCAGTGTCTGGTATACAAAAGGCAAGCAAATTGTTTGATCTTTCATCAGTTAACAGAGCTAATGACATACCTGGGTTCAGGGAGAAGAGAGGGGACCAATTTGTCAAATTATAAACCATGTTGCTTTAAGTGGTGTTTCCAGGGAGACAGAGCCATCTGAGATTATAATTTTTCTTAAGGATAATCTAGTTGTAACAACACTTTAACAGGCAATTTCTGTATTCTAGAGAACTAGCTACCATATCAAAAAGTACTTCTAAAACTTCCTCACTATTCTTTAGGAAACCTAAGGCTTAGTCCACATTGCATTCCTTCATGATTAAAAATCAAGGTGGAATAGGAAAAATTGAGCAGTGACCACCCCCAATGACCCTTCAGGGTCAACGGTGACTTGTGATCCAACCCACTATCAGTTTTAAAAAGATTGGCAAATTAACATTATAGAGGTAAAAACTTCTCCTATTAAAGAAGGATGCTAAGAAGTCTATAATTTTTTAAAATTAAAATTATATAGTACTCACTACCTATGCATAATTTGAGTAAAAATTGTTTTTCTTCTGTAAACTGTAACTTGAAACTGCAACTTGAAAACAATTACCCTAATCATCCCCAAACCTTCAAACTAGAGTCACTTCTCTAAGTACCCCCTGCAGAGAAATTCTGGAGCCAACACTAACTGCAGAAAAACTGCTCAGTGAATTATTTGTCAAAGTTTTCTGCACTGCCCTTGCTGCTGATTCCCAAAATTCATAAAATGGGTGTGGGTGGTCCCACACTTTTTTGGATTTTAAATGGCAGTCTAAACTTCGACTAGTTGTGTAACTTAGCAGCTCACTTTCCTTTTCCTCTAACACTAGGCTACTTTAGGCTAGGAGCTTTGTTCTTTCAGTATTAACCATGTATCCCCTCTTCCCGTCTCTTCACTGCTCTTCATACCAGGAGCTCATAGAACTCAAGGCACCTGCTCATTTCCTTTGGAACAAAATAGTGAAGCAGTTGAAACAGAAACGCCTCCGTTCTCTCTAATAATCTTGGAAGGGGGGGTGGTAAGAAGATAAAGATAAACAAGAGATAGCTTTCCCCCACCTAGGAGGCTAAAGGAAAGCGGAGCCTGCAGCCTTTAAATGCAGACTTTGGGTGGGTACCCCTTAGACGCGGTCCCCCGGCCCAGGGGCCAAAATTTGGCACTTTCTTACTCATGCTTGCCCGACTGACGTCACCTGTTTGACGGGAGGGGAACAGGTTTCTGTTTCATAAGGCATCTTTCCAGCATCAGGGCTACGGGAAACCAAGCGTCAGGGAGACAGAAGCGCCACTGGGACCTCAGAGGGGCCGGTCTAGTCCTCTACTGACCGCTCCTGATCCGGGCCTCAGTTTCCCCGTCTGTAGGACGTGAGCCTGGACTTGACCCCTCCAGGTCCCCACAATCTGAGCTACAGAGGAGGAATTAAGGTTTTAGGATGTCAGCACCATCACCTCCTCTCCCCAACGCCGTTCCTCCGAATTGAATAATCCTCTTACGGGGATTAGTTTACCCCAAGACACCTTATTTAGGGTGGCTCAGTGGTTTCCTTTTCCCATCAGACACTGCCTGAGCCGGACACCTGCAAAATTAGCCTGGCGCAGGTTCAGGTCCAATCGGGCGTGTGAAAGGGAAACGCCTATTCACGCCGTCCGACGCGCGAGCGGGACGTGTGAAATGAGGGCCAGGCCCTCCCAGACCCGCCGCCCAAGTCCCCGGGACCGGAGGAGGAGGCCGGCCGGCGCCCGGGACAACGAGCCGAGCGCGGGCCGCAGCTGCTGGAGCGGGAGCCGAAGCGGGGCCCGGGAATGAATGGGCGGGCTGGCAGGGAAGGGCCGTGGGCCTCCGACACTCACTGAGAAAGACTCGGTACTCGAGGGTGAAGGGCGCCGCGCGCTCCTCGCTGCTGAAGCCGCTCATCCTGCCGGAGACCAGCCGCCGCCGCCGCCGCCGCTGCTACGGAGCCACAAGCCCCCACGCGGCGCCGAATGACAAGAAGTGAGCTCCGGGCCTGCGCACTGCGGAGACTGGCGCGACTAGCAGGGCGGGGAGCCGCCTTTAACGCCGCTGGCGCGCTCCGGCCCACCCCGTACGCAGGCGCACTTCGTAGAGCTGGCGAGTCCCGGCGCCCTAGCTCCACCCCCTCGGGCCGCGCCTCCGCTGACCGCCGCTCAGCTAGCAGGCTGGGCCACGTGGCTGGCGGCCGGCTTTGGCCGTGATCCTTCTGACCTGGCGGGCTTTATGCCTCTGACGCAGGAGGGTGACCAGTTCTCAGCTTGGACCACCTAAGAATTGACTGTCGACATCTCGCGCACACTGAGAGCTCACCTTTGACTCACACACCCTTTTCCGCAGAGTAATTCCTTATCTCAAAAGAAGTTTAATAGAAGTCAGCTGCTTTACCTGACCATCTGTGCAGGTGGGAGCAGTTTTCTGATCCGTTTAAGCAAAGTTAAGGCATCTCGGAGGTTAAAGCGTCTGCCTGCAATGCGGGAGACCTGGGTTCGATCCCTGGGTCGGGAAGATCCCCTGGAGAAGGAAATGGCAACCCACTCAACAACAGCAAATTGCTGTTAACCTCTCACTCAGTTTCTCATCTGGGAAATGGAGCTGGTCAGAGTAAAGATTTCAAAGGTTGTAGGGATGATGAACCGAGTTGATGGACGTGAAGATCTGGGGGAGGAACATCCCTAGGTGTCCAGTGGTTAAGACTCTGTCCTTCTACTGAAGGGGGCGCAGATTCGATCCCACGTGCCACGTGGTGTGGCCAAAAAAATTGCAAATGAGGAAAAGAAAGGAAGAGCTGGCTTGTAAGCACTCAGGAAGTGTAACTTGTTATTCCCACCCTTATCTGCAGAGGACAGTCTGCACGCTCTTCTTGTGTAACACTCCCCACACCCTTAGGACTTTAAATGGAAGCATTGGAAAAGTCCAGGCCTGAACTCAGAGTCCCTTGAGGACATTTCTCCCAGGCACAAGCTCTTTGAAGCTTATTTTTATACCACTGTTTCATGGTGTTAGGCCAGCCCCCCAAAACTAAAGGCTGATTGAGGTTATGGGCAGATAATTTACATCACTTACATCCCCAGTTCTGTATGTTGGGTTTTTAATGTAAATTTCAAAATCCTCAAACTAAGCAATAATTATTCATAATTTGATTGCAAAATTATTTTAGAGAATGCCTAATTTTATTTAAAAATTTGATGAGTTGGACCTCTTTAAATAATCTTGATTTTCTAGGACATTAAATATAATGTGCCTCAAAGATACTTTGATTTAAACTCTTTTTCCCCCCAAAACAATGTCTAATATGTAAAATGAGATGTTCCCTGTATTAAATGAAAACCTAGTAAGATAATTTGCCGGTTAGTGGGAGTATCCTTCCCTTGTCTCCATCCAAACTCTCATTAATCTTCAGAAGGCCATGACTCACCGACCTTTTAAACACTACACCACACAGCTTGGCCATACTTGGAACACAAGGGCAGGAAAAAGAAAATAGAGCAGTAGGTAATGCAACACATTATTGAAAGCTAAAGGTATCTCTGCGAAGTGGACACTAAGGAGGCTCACCTTCCGAGAGTTTCTTAAAAGGGTGCAGAAATTGAACGGTGCTGTCAGTTTTCTACCTTTGAGCAGATGGAGCTAGTTTTCTTAGAAAAACCCCAGAATCTCATGTAACTGACTTGTGAACAGCTACAAATGATGCAATAGTGTGCACATGCACTTTCCCTTTTGCTTCCTGCTACTAAGAGCAAGAAAATAAAGTCTTGCTGACCTCTGGACTTGCACACTAGCTCCTGTTGTATTGAATGTCCTGGGAGAGCCAGTCAATACCAACCCCAATAAAAAGCCAAATCCTGCCTTTGCTGGAGCAAAGCCAGTGCTGTGTAACAGGCAGGTGCGGTGAGCCCCACAGACATTTTGGACCTTGTTCTTTTTCTCATATCTCTCTGGAGCCAAGTACAGTACTGGCCTAGAGTAGGTGTTTAATGACTCTTTGCCAAACAAATAGGTAGAGGAACTGATGAAACGGAGAGCAAAAATACCTTCTTTAAGTATAATAGTTTGACAAAGGATGAACCCAGCTGTTCTCAAATGTTGTCTCTCTTGCTCTGTAACTGAATCCAATGGTGCTTTTTAGTCCATATCCTGTTAGCCCTGTTAGGCACCTCCAACTTCCTGATGCCCTCTCTCTTCCTTGGCTTTATGACTGCATTTTCTTCCAACATCCCTCCTACTTCTCCGGCCACTCTTTTCTCATTCTCCCCTTTAGCCATCTCTTCCTCTGGATCATCACTATTTTTCTGACTTCTCATGTTCTTTTTCTCTAGAGATACCCTCTCCTTAGGTTATCTCATGAATATGTTTGGTGTCAACTACCACCTATAGGTCCTATAACAGGAAAACTTTCAAATTTATAACTACGTTTTATTTAACACTCATGACTGTTATTGCTGCTAGGTGGTAGGGATGTAGTACTTTGAAAGACATGGTTGGAGAGCTGCCATATGACCCAGCAATCCCACTTCTGGGCATACACACCGAGGAAACCAGATCTGAAAGAGACACGTGCACCCCAATGTTCATCGCAGCACTGTTTATAATAGCCAGGACATGGAAGCAACCTAGATGCCCATCAGCAGACAAATGGATAAGGAAGCTGTGGTACATATACACCATGGAATATTACTCAGCCATTAAAAAGAATTCATTTGAATCAGTTCTAATGAGATGGATAAAACTGGAGCCCATTACACAGAGTGAAGTAAGCCAGAAAGATAAAGACCATTACAGTATACTAACACATATATGGAATTTAGAAAGATGATAATGATAACCCTATATGCAAAACAGAAGAGAGACACAAATGTACAGAACAGACTTTTGGACTCTGTGTGAGAAGGCGAGGGTGGGATGTTTCGAGAGAACAGCATCGAAACATGTATATTATCTAGGGTGAAACAGATCATCAGCCCAGGTTGGATGCATGAGACAAGTGCTCGGGCCTGGTACACTGGGAAGACCCAGAGGGATCGGGTGGAGAGGGAGGCGGGAGGGGGGATCAGGATGGGGAATACATGTAAATCCAAGGCTGATTCATGTCAATGTATGACAAAAACCACTACAATATTGTAAAGTAATTAGCCTCCAACTAATAAAAATAAATGAAAAAAAAAAAACTAAAAAAATCAAAAAATTTTTTAAATTAAAAAATAAAGAAGACATGGTTGTGGGCCTCATAGAACTTATAGTCTGAAGGGAAGACAGGCTTCAACAAATACTTGCAATAAGTTTGGATAAGTAGAGGGTGTTCCCTGGTGACCTAGTGGTTGGAATTCCAGGCTTTCACTGCCATGGCCCAGGTTCAATCTGTGGTCAGAGAACTTATTAATAGATCCCACAAGCTGTGGGGGCAAGGCCAAAAAAGAAAAAAGATTTGGATAAGCAGAGTGATAAAGGAGGTACAAGGCTTTGCATTATAGGAGCAGGGAAACTTTTCAAAGAAATGATCCTTAATCTATGACCTAAAAGATAAGATGTGGTTAATAAAGCAAAAAGGAGAAGACAGAAGCCAGAAAGAGTGTATTTTTTAAAAGTCATTTATTTTTAATTAATTAATTTATTTATTTTACTTTACAATATTGTATTGGTTGTGCCATACATTGACTTGAATCCACCATGGGTATACATGTGTTCCCCATCCTGAACCCGCCATCCCACCTCCCTCCCCATCCCATCCTTCTGGGTCATCCCAGTGCACCAGCCCTGACCATCCTGTCTCATGCATTGAACCTGGACTGGCGATTCATTTCACATATGATAATTTACATGTTTCAGTGCCATTCTCCCATATCATCCCACCCTCACCCTCTCCCACAGAGTCCAAAAGACTGTTCAATACATCTGTGTCTTTTTTGCTGTCTTGCATACAGGGTTATCGCTACCATCTTTCTAAATTTCATATATACATGTTAGTATACTGTATTGGTGTTTTTCTTTCTGGCTTACTTCACTCTGTATAATAAGCTCCAGTTTCATCCACCTCATTAGAACTGATTCAAACATATTTAATGGCTGAGTAATATTCCACTGCATATATGTACCATAGCTTTCTTATTCATTCATCTGCTGGTGTACATCTAGGTTGCTTACATGTCCTGGATATTATAAACAGTGCTGCAATGAACTTTGGGGTACATGTGTCTCCAGAAAGAGTGTATTAAGAGATGAAACCAGAAAAGAGGTCAAAGTTAAGTGATGCAGCGCCTCAGAAGGCATGATACAAGGATTGAACTTTTTCTGAAGGAGCAATGAAAAACTTGTAAGTGTTTTTAGTCCTGATCAGAATTGCTTTTAAAAGTGGCTCTGGGGACCTCCCTAGTGGTCCAGTGGTTAAGAATCCTCCTTGCAATGCAGGGGATTCTGGTTCCATCCCTGGTTGGGGAACTACATGCTGTGGAGCAACTAAGCCCAAGCACCACAACTACAGAGTCTGTGCACCTCAGTGAAAGATCTATATGACACAGCAAAGATCCCACATGCCACAACTAAGACCCAACACAGCCAAATAAATAAATAAAACACAAAAATATATATTTTTTAAAGTGGCTCTGTTAGCAACTTGAAACCTGGATTCAAGTTTAGCAAGACCAGGCAGAGAGAACCATGAGAAGTCTGTTGCAGTGACCCAGGTAAAAGATGGTGGTGCCCTGGACCTGGGTGGCAAAAGAGTGATTACAGAACTGTGTTCAACATAGATTCAATGTAATTGATCACTGGCTGAACAGAGTGGAAGATGAGCAAGATGGATTGAGGATGATTTCTAGGTTTCTGGCTACAACAACTGGTTAAATGGTGAGTCATTTACTGAGATAGTTTGGTTAGGATGGAGGGTAAGAAAAATGATGACTTTCAGT